GGGGTCTTTTGTTGGCATTCGGAAACATCGTGGGTGTTTTCGGGGCCCTCGTGGGCCGTTTTGGCGCCTTCCTGGGCCGTCCTGGGGCCTTCTTGGGCCGTCTTGGGGAGCTTGGGCCCGCTGGGGCCCCCTTTGGACCCATCTTGGGCACTTCCGGGGACCTCCCATGGCTGTTTTGGGTCTGTGCTGGGAGCCCTTGGAGGGCCTCTTGGTTCCATTACGGGCTGTCTTGAGGCTCTCGTGGGCGATCGTGGGGCCCGGCTCGGCCGTCTTGAAGATTTCTTGAGGGCCATTTGGGGCGTCTGGAGGCGATCTCGGGGGTTTTGAAACCGTCTTGAAAGCTGATGATTTCCGAAAGGCGAATCTGCTAAAATTGTAAGTTGTACGAAGGGAATGGGACGATGTTCGTGTTTTGAAGGCCCCTTGGCAAGTTTTTTGGGGTGCCTTGGGGGTCTTTTGGGCCGTCCTGACGCAATTGGAGTCCCTCTTGGAGCGCTCTTGTACTGTATGGGGCCTCCCGTGAGCTTTTCTGATGACCCCTCGGATCGCTTTGGGTCTGCTGGCAAGGCGTTTGTGGATACCCGGAAGGCCGGATGACCTTTTCCATGGACGTCCAAGGGAACCCAAGAACCCCAGGTCCCAGGGGTCCAGTTTTTTTTTGAGGGGGGGGGGGCGGTTTCCCCCCCCTTGAGCTTGTTGTACAATTATAGGAAGAGGAATACATATATATATATATATATATATAGATATCTACATATGTAAATGTATATGTATATGTATATGCAAATGTATATGCATATACATATGTTTACGTATACGTATATGCATATGTATATGTATATGTATATGCATATGCATATGTATATGTATATGTATATGTATATATACACATACATACATACATACATACATGCATGCATACATACATGCATACATACATACATGCATACATGCATACATGCATGCATACATGCATACATACATACAAACAAGCATACATCCATGCATACATACATACATACATACATACATACATACATACATACATACATACATACATACATACATACATACATGCATATATGTATATATATATATATATATATATATATATATATATATATATATATATATATATATATATATATATATACCGGGCACGACGCCCGGGCGCCCGGGGCCGCTGCCCCGACAGGGCATGGGAGTACCGGGAGTCGTTTTCCCTATGTTTTTAAAGGGTTTCGGCGTCCCGGGCTTCGGAGGCCGCCGCTTCCGACCCCCCGTGGGAGGACGGGGCGGCCGGGGAGATCCACAATAGTCCAGGAGGGCCTCCAGAGGCTCCCAAGACGGCCCAAGCGGTCCCCGAGTCGCCGAAAGACCGCTCCAGGACGCCCAAGATAGGCCCAAGACGGCCCGAGAGGCCCCCCAAGGCACTCACTCGACGCTTGAAGACGCCTCTCGAGAGCGCTTCAAGAGGCCGAAATCGTCAATTTTACAAAGGTTTTCGAATGATTTTGGCCTTCCAGCCTTTTCGGCTGTCCGACGTTCCAAGACGGCTCAATAGGCCCCCAAGAGCGCCCCAAGACGGCCCAAGATGGCCCCAAAATGGCCCCAGAGTCGCCCAAGACAGCCCAACAGAGCCCCAAGACGGCCCCAAGATGCGCCCAAGAGGGGGACCACGACTCCAAAATTCGACCCTCCCGCTTGAAGAGTGCCCCAGGAGGCCCCAAGGAGACCCCAAGAGGCCCCAGGAGGCCTCCAAGAGGCACCCAGGAGGCCCAAACGAGGCCTAAAGAGGCCACAAAACAGGTCCGAGGAGGCCCCACAACGGTCCCAAAACGGCTACCGAGAAGCTGCGAAACTGCCTTCACGACGTCCCCGACAGGCCAACCACGAGATCCAAAGCAACACCCATGAGGCCTCTGACCCACCACCCAGGGCACAGAGGCGGGAGCAGTGACAGCACTTGTGCACAGCATGTTCCGGCGGGAGCCTTCCGGAACACGCTGCAGGAGGAGGAGGAGGAAGATCAGGAGGAGAGAGAGAGCTGGAGTGGGAGGAGGAGGACGGGGACGAGGAGGAGGAAGAGGCCTCCAAGACAGCTCCAAGATAGCCGAAGAGGCTTCCAAGAGGGCCCTGGGTGGCCCACGAGGGCCCCAAGGCGGTGCCTGAGGCGCCCAAGAAGGCCCGAGAGGGCCCCAAGACGGCCCCAAGAGAGGCCCAAGAAGGGAAATACGAACTGAGAATCCGAGCTTTCTACCCCGAGAGGTTCTCGGGAAGTCCCAAGAGGCCCCCAATCGGATCCAAGAGGCCCCCAAGAAGCTACCAAGAGGGCCGACGAGGTTCCAAGAGGGCCGAAGAGGTTCCGACGAGGCTCCCAAGGTGGCCCCAAGAGGCACAACTCATTGTTTTACGATTGGTCTTTGACGGGTTTTAATTTTTGTGGGCCCTTTGGCATCCCGATGCTCCAAGACGGCCCAATAGGCTTCCAATACCGCTCCGACATAGAGGAAGAGGCCTCCAAGAGGGCCCCAAGACGGCCCGCGAGGGCCCCAAGACGGTGCTTGAGGCGCCCAAGACGGCCCGAGAGGGCCCCAAGAGCCCCAAGAGAGGCCCAAGAAGGGGAACGCGACCCAACAGCAGAGCGTTGCCCCCAAAACGCCCACAGGAGGCCGCAAGAGGACCCCAAAAGCTTCCCGAGGGCCCAAAAGGCCCCCAGGAGACGTCCAAGAGGTTTTAAAATACCCCAAGAGTGCCCTCGATGCGTCAAATCTGCTTCCAGGAGGCCCCTGGGAGGCTTCCGGATTGCCTCAATCTGGCCGCAGGTGGCCTCAAGTCGGGCCTCCACGCAGCCAAGACGGCCAATGACGGCTTCAGATTGCAGAACCGAAGCCCCCAAGGGACACTCAGACGCCCCCCCCAAGAGGCACCCAAGAGGTGCCTCCAACAGCCAGTTGACGAAGCATGCGGAACACCCCAGAAGCTCCTCAGATGCCGTCGCGCGCCTGTGCTTGATAGCAGTGTCCAAGATCGTCCAGCGCCCCCCTGGCCTGGGCTAGAATCTGAGCGCGCGCGAAGCGCGCGCGATGGTTCCAGTATATATATATATATATATATATATATATATATATATATATATATATATATATATACATATCGTAGTTTCCGAAACCGAGCACAGGCGGACGCGGACCTTGCATCGGTCGTTCGCCGGTTGTCTCTCGTTGGCTGCTGTTGTCTCCTGTTGCCTCCCGCTGCCCCCCGTTGTCTGCCGCTGTCGCCCTATCGGTATACCTAGCCCTCTTCCCCTTATCCCTGCCTCCCCAGGGCTGGGCCTGAGCGCTGTTTTGCTGGACTTCGGCTGCGTAATGTTTCTCGATTGGGCAGGGCTGTACAGGAAAATAGGTGGAGCAAGACGAACACATCAAAACGAACACAAAACGAGAACAACGTTTAGGTCCAGCCCTGTGCATCCCAAACCCTCATCCCACTGTCCCAGCACTGCCTTCCCCTGCATGGGAGAGTGCCGTCTGTCGCCGTTACAAAAGTTTTGCTGTCGAGTGTGCCCAGGTTGCCCGGCCGGTGCTCGGGTGCACTGTTGTGCGAGTGCCGCCCGATGGTCCCGCGCGTCGAGACATGTTCAACATGTTGAGGCGGTTCGGTCCCGTTTCGCTTGAGACATCCTCACGAGTCTGCGTTCCGAGATGACTTGATCGGCGATGGTTCGGCCTGTTCCGCTTGGGACAATCTCGCAGTTCTGGGCTCGCAGATTCAGCGCCAGAGGTGGTCCAGCCCATTTCGCCTGAAGCATCCTCGCATCTTTGGGCTCGGAGATACTGTGACCTGAGATCCTGCGCCCATTTCGGTGGAGACATCCTCGCATTTCTGGGCTTGGAGTTGCCGCGCACGAGGCGATCCCGCCAGTTTCACTCGAGACATTCCCGCAACTCTTGGCACGGAGATTCCGCGTGCGAGGAGGTCCGACCAGATTCGCATGAGGCTTCCTCGCAATTCCGAGCAGCCGCTGAGCAGTACGAAGGAGGAGGAAGAGGAGGAGGAGGAGGAGGAGGAGGAGGAGTACGCAGGAGCAGGAGGTGGAGGAGGAGGAGGAGGAGTACGAAGGGGAAGGAGGAGGAGGAGGAGGAGAGTGCTCGTAATAGTAATGCAGTCGGAGAAGACATTCTGCTTTCGTCTAGGGCCAAAGGCCACACAGCCACAAAGAGAACCTTGGGCCCGAAGCCCTTCCCGGTAAATTGTTCAACGAGGAGCTCATAACGTGAACTCATTGCGAGGGCTTTCCGCCCGAAAACAGCAGCGAGGAAGGTCTCGGGAAACGGGGGAGCGGTAAACGGGGGAGCGAGAGGCCGGTAACCGAACAAGCGGGGAGCCAGCCTCATCCCCAACCCTTACGGGCGTCCTTACCCCGCATTCTCCCCATCCCGATCCCCCCCCCCCCAATTTGCAGCCCCGGCTCGTGGCCCCCCACAATTGTGGCCTCGCATCGTACCCGTGTCAAGCTGTCTGGGGGTCTTCTGACGCCTCCTCCTCCTCCTCCTCCTCCTCCTCCTCCTCTCCCTTCCTCTTCTTCCTGCTCCTTCTCCTCCTCTTCCTTCTCCTCCGCCTCCTCTTCGTCCTCATCCTCGTCCTCCTCCACCTCCTCCTCCTCCTGCACCCCCCCTCCCCCTCCCCCTCCCCCATCTCTGTCTGCAGGTCGGCCCTGGGAAATCGCGGGTGCTGTTTGTGCCCTGCCTGCCGCGGCTCGTGCCCATCGTTCCTGCCCGTTCGAGATGGTCCGTCCTCGGGGGAGACTCGCATGCTCTTCAGTCGGACCGCACCGTTCCACCGCCCCTCCCAGGCTCGATAGTTGGCAGGACCTGTGTTGGCCGAACGTATACGTGCTTGCCCCGTTCGGCTCCCATCATTTCGGCTGCGTCGTCTTGAGAGTCGTGGGGAGACCAGCAAACGTTTGCGCTGACACATGTTCTGAGGATCTTCGGCAGGTGCTGGGCGAACCACCCGCGCCACCTCGTCATCGAGAACGGCCCAGGGGGCCTGAAGGCCAAGGTCTGGGTAGGACGAAGGGGGGGGATGGGGATCTGGATGATCGACATGGGCACGACGATAGTGGTAGGTTCGAGGACTTCTTAAGTTCTAGGCTCGAGCAAATTGGGGAGCCGAGGTGGCCCACCACCCAGTGCCGGCCAGCAGCACAGACAGAGAAGGGCCCCTTTTTCACGCCACGCCCGGGAGGGGTCTGGGGACGGATTTCGAGCGTGCATGCCTTGATTCCAACAAAGTCAACGATATGGGTCGCCACGCTTCCCGTCACTTGGATGTCTTGGGGTCCTTCTTGGGCTTGATGGCGGCTGGGTTTCCCTTGTGTGGTCCTTCATGGGAGCCTCAGAGGGTACCAACTACTTGCGGTCGTTTGGAGGCTTCGCACGGATTTCGTCGGATTTCGTCGACATCTGGACGAAATCTGGACGAAAGTATTGAGAGGGGCGGTCGAAGTCTGGACGAAATCCGGTCGAAACACACAGCTATGACAGGGCCGCAGGGGTCCACAGAGGCTCCCATGAAGGCTCACCCAGCATCCCTCCCTCGTGACATATTCCCTGGGCAGATCCAGTTCAGATCCACTGGCCACCTCCAATAAGGAGTGGGTGGACAAAATCGGCCTCATGGAGCACCGGCTGGCGTTGAGTCGGGCATGCCCCTCTACAGGAGGAATATTCAAAAACAAGCCAAAAGTATTCGGGGGATGATTGGTCGACTGCTCTGGACTACTGCTGAGTATTTTCAGGCTATCTTCTAGCCTTCCTCCACAATCCGCCTGTCGGAGGAGGTGCCCGACCGAAGCCCGGCGTCTGTCCTTGATGCAGACCTGGCGCCTCCGGCGCCAGCACGGGCGCTTGGAGAGCGCCAGCCGCGAATGAGCTGAGTCGAGGACCCGCCCCTCCTGCTCGGCGGCGCCCCAGGGGAGGTGGCGCGCGGGGGCGGCCTCTTCAGAGGGCGAAGCTTATTCTGAGGGCAGGGGCATGCCTCCTCCTCCCTCCTCCCTCCTCCTCCCTCCTCCTCCATCCTCCTCCTTCTCCTCGCTGCTCGTCCTCCTCCTCGTCCTCCTCCTCCTCCTCGTCTCTCCTCCTCCTCCTCCTCCATCCTCCTCCCTCCATCCTTCTCCCTCCTCCTCCTCTTCCTCCTCCTCTTCCTCCTCCTCTCCGTCCTCTTCCTCTTCCTTCTCCTCCGCCGCCTCCCCCTCCTCCTCCTCCTCCTCCTCCTCCTCCATTCCGTCTCCATGTAATAACTTCTCCCTGTCACACCCCGAGGCCAGTTTTTAGGGCGGGCCGGGCGTTTCGCCTGAGACTTCTGCAACACGTATAATTCTGGAGCTTCGAAAGTGACAACAGTTTCACAGATGGATGGCGGGTCGTTTTAAAACTGTTGTTCTCTCCTTAGCCCCGCGCACACTCGCTTTACACATGTGCAAGGTGCTTCACGGATTGAAGGCGGGTGGTTTTCAAAATGTGGTTCTCGCTTTGGCGCCGCGCACATTCGTCTGAATCATTTGCAAGAGTTTCACGGATTAAGGGCGGCCCCTTTTTCAAAATGTGGTTTTCGCCTTAGCGCCGCTCGCATTCGTTTCAACATATTGCAAGAGTTTCACAGGTTGAGGGCGGTTCCTTTTCAAATTGTGGTCTTCGCCTTAGCGCCGCGCACTTTAAAAAAAAAATAGCCAGAGTTTCACGGATTGAGGGCGGGTCGTTTTCAAAAGGTGGTTTCCGCCCTGGTGCTGCGCACATTCGTTTAAACATATTGCAAGAGTTTCACGAGTTGAGGGCGGTTCATTTTCAAAGCGTGGTTCTCGCCTTTGCGCCGCGCGCACTCGTTTCCAACATTTACAAACGTTCCACGGGTTCCCATGATCAACGTACCCGAAATTGTGTCTGGAAGGGTTCACGATTACGCGGGTGCAACAGTTATGTTGATTCGCGGTGTTGAAGTCCCAGAAATGGCGCTCTGGCACGATTCCGGATCGTCAGGACGCAGCAGTCAGTTTGATACGTGGTGTTGAAATCCAGAACAATGTTTTGGCATGTTTCAGGATCTTCAAACGGTTGTCTTCCAACGGGGTAGTTTCCTCAATGGAAATGAACCGTTGTGGGGGCCTATGAAGAGGGAGTTTGGAGGGAGGGTTGATTCCAACATCGTTGATGACTCTCGGTTTTTCACTGGTTCTCCTCCTCCTCCTCCTTCTCCTCCTCTTCCTCCTCCTCCTCCGTTAGCGCGGCCCGGGAGTCACCGAGCGCGTTCCACTGCTCGCACAGCGCCGATCCTCGCAAACGTCGAAAAACAACGCCTGCCCCGCTGGGATATAGCCTGTCTACCTGGCTGCAAGGGGTCCGGGCCGTTTGCGAGCAGCTACTTTTGCGAGTGGTGGAGCGAGCTTATCTACTGAGAGGTGGGGGCCGCGGCCGCGGCCGTTCTGGCCGTCGCGCAGGAGCTGCAGCCGCAGTGAGGCGCCCAGGCACCCGCGCAGAGGGCGCGCGGCGCCTTGGGGCGGGGCCGCCCTCCAGCGGTGCGCTCGCGGCAGGGCGCGGCGGCGGGCCGAAGTCCGAGTCTGCACCACCACCGTGCCAGGCCAGGGCCATCCTAGGCCCCAGGATGGTGTATGGACCCTCCTGGCCTCGGCCAGGAGGGCGCGTGCGCCATCCTGGGGCCCAGGGTTGCCCTGGCCTGGCACGGTGGTGGTGTATGGACGCCTTCTGCGTGCGAAGATCGGCGGCGGACCCCAGAGGGCGCCGGGGGGGGAACCCACAGACCTGGCGCCGCTGGGACGTATGCATTTTTGTCTCGGCGAGAACCATCGAGGAGCATCCTTGATCATGTGGCGAAAAAAACACGCACAGAACCTGAAAAAACACAGGGAATGGACGTCCGAGCGATGGCGAGCAGGGGGGAGCCTCGGGCTCGAGATGCCAGGTTTTCGGGCGCTCGGTTCTCCGAGGTGTTCCAGCCTCGAGCGGGTGCGCTCCGGCGGCTGCGCCTCGCCGAGAACGTTCCTTGCAACTCTGACGCAGCATATTTGGCTCGAGTCCGGAGGGCTAGCAACGGCCAGTTTCCCTTCCCAGGGGGGGAGGAGCCTTTAGCGGGTGTATCCGCGAAGCCCAAAAAGAGAGAGGGGTGCCTGGATCGCCCCGAGCGGTCACGGAAGAGCTGAGCTGATCGTGGTTCAGAAGCCACCAGGAGGGGTCCGAGAGGGTGCAGGATTGCTCAGAGGGCGCTGGCTTCTCGGAAACTCCCGCGCCATCTGAGAAGCCTTGTGAGCCGTCCCCGAAGCCACACGCGGGTTATCGGAAGCCCCGCCCCCTTTTGAGAAGGCCTGCTCACTCCCCCCTGGGCTCGCCGCCAAAGCAGGAAAGCACTGCAAAGCAGAAGCTGTCGGTGGTCTGCGTGGGTTCCTTGGAGCTGGGCCTGGGGCTCCTCGGTGGCGCCGCCGGCGCCGCCCCTGCTGAGTACTCCACGCGGGAGGGTCGAGGCCGTGAACTCAAGGTCGAGGGATCGAGGCTCGAGGCTCGAGGCTGGAGGCTCTGAGTGGCAGCGCAGCCGATCTCCTGCCTCCCAATCCGTCAAAGAAGAGAAACGCCATGAACAAAGACTTGTGGTGCTCCGCGCGGACTTCTTGGATCTATTCTGGGGCTCCCCTGGCGGCGCATCCGGCGCCGCCCCTGGCGCGCTCCGCGCGCCAGGGAGGGGGGTCTGGTGCGGATCTAAGACATTCGCACGGAGCGCCAAAAGTTTATGTTGATGTTTTTGTGTTCTTCTTCTAGTCCTGGAGTTCCCTGCCCAAGATAGAACTGATCCCAGCCAAGCACCCTATCAGCGACAGTGTGGACATGCATTGACGAGGCGATGCTGAGTCATCTGTTCTCGTATGAATCGAACCACTATGATAGAAGCCATGTGTGAGTTGTTGGACAACGGGATGGCGGAGCTGAGATGGTTCCTGAGAGGCTCTTGATGGGCCTTTAGGAGGGTCATGAGAAACTCTTGCTCGGCACCCAAGAGGATCCCGCGACCCAACCTCCCCCCCTGAGAGGGGGGCTCCTGCTTTGTTCTTGTATGCTGCGTTGAAGAAGCATCGATTCTTGTCAAACATGTTTCATGATCACGGCCTGCGGCCTATCCCGCCAGCGTGCCTGGGTTGTGGGTATGAAGCCTATTGGATGGTCTTTGGGATCTCGTGGGAGGCTTCTTGGGGCTGTTGGAGGCAGTTTGGACTCCTCTTGGAGGCTGTTTTGGGGCCTCTTTTGGGCCTCTTGGGGGCCTCTTGGGACCTCCGAGACCTCCTGGGCTCTTTGGGCCTTCTGGTGCCCTCTTGGGGCGGAAGGCTCGGATTTTCGGTCGTGTTCCTTCGTTTGGGCCGCTTTGGGGGCCGTCGTGGGCGCCTCTTGGGCCGTCTTGGAGCCCTCTTGGGCCAGTTAGGGGTCCTCTTGGCGGCCTCTTGGGCCGCGGTCTTTGGAGCCTCCAAGGCCGTCTGGGAGCGTCGGGAAGTCGAACAGGCGAGAAAAGAAAGCCACCAACCTGCAAAACATGGGGCAATTATTGATTTTCGCCTCTTGGGGCCCTCTTGGGAGGCCTCTCAGAGGCTTCTTGGGGCGTTGTGACGCCATCTTGGGCGTCTTGGTCCGACCATTGGGCGTCTCGGGACCCTCTTTGGGACCGTCTTGGAGGCCGCTTGGGGCCCTCGTGGCCCGTCTTGGGGCCCTCTCGGGGCCCAAGGAGTCACGCGGGGAGACGCGCCAGAGCTGAGAGGGCACGCAGAGAGTCTCGCCAAGAGGCGGACGCGTGGGTCCGGGCCCCGTGTGGACTCCACAGGAGTGCTGAAGGGACGGGCACGCCCACTCGGTGCCCAGCGGCACGGTGGCGGATCTTGACCAAGCCGTGATCATGTGAGGATTTTGGACGGATGTTGGCAGGGCCGCTCCAGAGGCATCCTACCCGATCCACAAGCATGCGGCGGCACGGCTCTGGCAGCGCGACCGCAGCCGCCGGGACCCCCGTGCCACGATTGGAAACCCATGCGGAACGGCATTAGGGAACTGGCCGTCTAGAGAAGAAGGGGGATTCGGGACGCACTCCTAGGGGACTACTCGGACGCACCCCTGTCGACGATGGGTGCCCCCCTGTATATCCCCGCTGTGGGCAACGGATGTCATGGCCAGTCGGAAGTCCCGCAAAGTCTGCGATATGGGTCGCCCTCCTTCCCATCACCCGGATGTCCCGGGGCCCTTCCTGGGCTTCGTGGCGGCTGGCGTTCCCTTCGGGCTCCTGGCCAGAGCGCGGCCCGAGACAGGTCTGGGTACAGGCAATGTTCGGCCGGCGGATCCAGAGCCTCTCGTGTCGCGAACAAGCGACAGAGGAGGTATTTATCACGTTTCGGCTTCTGGGGGCTGGTGGCGTCGAGGGAGGAACGCGGCATAAACATAAACCTTTGGCGCTCCGCGCAGATTCCTCGGATCGGCGTTGGAGCCTCTTGGCGGCGCCCCAGGCGTCGCCCCTGGCGCTCTCCGTGCGCCATGGAGAGGGGTCCAGCGCCGATTCGAGAGATCCCCGTGGACCTCCGAGTTTGTGTGTTTATGCCATTGCTCGTTGTTCCCTCAGGTGGGTGCCCGGCCCCGCAGGACCACAAATCGTTTGTCAAAGGCCCCCAGGCTTGACACTTGTTACCCCCCCAGAACCGCCCGTCATGGTAACGCTTGGAAGCCGGCCACAAGCATGAATTCGTGCAGCTCCCAAAAAACATTGCAAGGGGTACACAGGCGTTCCGGCGCACGCAAGCATCGACGTGCACGCAGGGCAAGGGCATTGTCGTGTACACAAGCGCTGTGGTGCATGCGGGCACTGGCGTACGCGTGCGCTGCGGTCACATGGTTGCTGTGGCATGCACAGGCATTGTTGTGTTGACAGGCGTTGTGATGCAGGCAGGTGCTGTGGTGTACACAGGCGCTGTGGTACACACGGCGGCAGCGGGGCACACAGGCTTTGCGGTGTACGCAAGTGTTGCCGTGCAGCAGAAGGATATCAGGTGGATGGGGCAGGACGAAGAGGAGGAGGAGGAGGAGGAGGAGGAGGAGGAGGATGAAGAGGAGGCGGAGGGGGAGCAGGAGGTGGGAAGGGGGATGGAGCAAGCTGACAGCAGATCCACAGCCTGTGCAGTCAATTCCATGGGGACTCTGAGCGCCCGAGTGCAGGCGTTGTTTGGGGAGTTCCACGGCGCTGGAGCTTTCGATCCCATTGCCGGGATTCTGTTGTTCCTCCCGTTGCTGCTCCTCTTCTCCCCCTCTGGCTCTTGCAAGCCATCGCGGCTTGCACCAGTGACAGACATGGAGAGCATCCTCGCGATGAAAGCGCGCCTGGCCACGACCATCGTTGAGGCCTCCCCCGCGAGAGCCTTGAAAGACGAGTCCCGAAGGTTTCCTTAATTTGCGACGAACCCCACGAAGAGGCGGAAGAAGAGAAGGAGGAGTAGGAGGACATACACGGATGTTGTGATGCACGTGGTTGTTGTGGTGTACACAGGCGTTTTGGTGCACACAAGCATTCTGGTGCACGCAAGCATTGTGGTGTACGCAAGCGTTGTTGCGCACGCGGCTGCTGCAGTGTACGCAGGCACTGGTGCACACCGGCGACATGGTGCTGTGGTGCACGCGGCTGCTGTGGTGTCCGGAGGCATTTTGGTGTACACATGCGGCGCTGTGTTGCACGCAGGCGTTGGGCACTGTCGTGTACACAGGGACTGGTGCACACAGGCGATCGATGTGCTGGTGGCGCGGAGCCACCATGGCGGGTGCACGCCGCGTCCGCGGTTTCCGTTACCCCCCTTGACCGCGCCTTTCCTTGGGGCAAGACGTGTTACCCCCGACGGAAGAATCGACTTCTACCAGAGCCAGTTCGGGATGGAAACGGGTCCCGGGGAAGGGGTCGATGAAGGCGCGGGGTCTTTGAGACAGGTCGGAGTTTTCGAAGCTGGCCTCCCAAAGGGCGGGAGGGCCTCCAAGAGCCCCCTGGCCTTCGAAGGCGCCACCTCTCGCCCCGAGCATAACCAGAGCTTGGTGAACGTCGGGCCCCTGAGCCCCGCCCATTTCAGGCAGGCCTGGGATCGGGGCACATCGCTCCTCAGCGGTCCAGAACGGGCTCAGGGATTTTCCAGAACGATGTGAAGCGGCCGCTTCGCCCGACGCGTCCGTCAGACCCGCCGGCCCGCCCGGGGCTTCGGCTTGCAGGCCGGGGGATATGAAAGTTCCCGCCGCAGGGGTTTTCAGGGATCCAGATTGTCCCTGTTCGAGGTTGTCCCGATCCTGGCTGACCTCGTTTTTTCATGGATCCAGATTCTTCCCTGTTCGAGGTTGTCCCGATCCTGGCTGGCTTCGCCTTAGTTGCCATGCTGGCCAGCATGTCGAGCCGCGCCCAGTCGTGTGGCCACGAGGCCTTCCGCCCCCGCCCTCCCAGCAAGCGAGCGGGGCAGCGCCAGGATCCCGCCCTTTTTGCCCCCTCCCTGCACGCCAGCGGGCGTCGAAGAGGCCTCTCGGAGGTCCGCGCGGATATTCTTAATTCGGGCCTGTCCCTCTACAGGAGGAATATTCAAAAAATAGTTTAAAAATAGTCTGGGGACCATTTCTTTTTTATTTTTTGACTATTTTGGGCCATGTCTTGAGTACTTTTTGTTTTTCGTCCAAAGTCCGCCTGTAACCGGGACACGCCAGACATAAGGGTACTCTTATCCGGGGGGTCGTAGGAAGGAGGGGTATCTCAAGGGCGGGTGTTGTTAGAAGCGGTTCCGGCCGAAGAGGCTCCCATCTTGTCGTGCCAGTTTCTTGACTTCTGGGCCGCCTTCCGGGCCTCTTGAGGGGGTGCTCTGGAAGACATCTGCGCCACCCTGGAAAACCTGGCGTCACCTTTGGTCAGGGCCACTTCTGGCAGCGCCCCACTGTGGGTGGGGAACGGGCCCCGACGGCTGCGTTCCCCCCGATCTCGGATCTGCGATACTCACGATTCCCTCTTCCAGGGGTTGTCTGGGGCGACTGTTTTCCAACCTCTCCTCTTCCCTACCTGCCCCACCCCTGCGTCCCCCCCTGATCTCGGATCTGCACTGGACCCCCCTGGCGGGGCTTGCGGCGACGCCACTGGCGCGCTCCGCGCGCCACGGAGGGAGGCCCAGCGCACATTCAAGAATCCGCTCGGACCTCCGAAGGCGTATGGATACGCAGTTTGTGGCTTCGTCTGGATCCCTTGCCCTGTCTCTCTCCGTCTCACTCCCTGCCCGCCTCCCTGCTTTTTCCGCGGCGGCTCCCTCGTTTCCCCCCCGCGCGGACGGTGGAGAAAAGAGCGCGCGTGTCCAGAGGGAGGGGGGCAGCCCCTCCCCCGCCACAGCGGGCCGACCCCGGCCCAGGACCTCCCCGCGGGGGTCCTCGCAGGGCGGCCGCCCCTCGCGGCGCTCCGCGCGCGCGCGCGGAAGCGCGCGCGGTGGCTCCCTGGGTGAGGACCCGCCTCTCGGATGCCTCGTGCGCGGCCCTCCGGAGGCTCTCCGGAGCCTCCGGCGCCCCCTCGCGGGAGGCCGCCGCGGAGGGCCCCCCGCGGAGCGCCGCCATCGGAGGGCCCCGTCGAAGGGCCTCCTCGGAGGCTTCTCCTCCTCCTCCTCCTCCTCCTCCTCCTCCTCCTCCTCCTCCTCCTCCTCCTCCTCCTCCGCCTCCTCCTCCCTCCTCCTCCCTTCTCCCTCCCCCCATCTCTCGCCTCCCTCCTCTTTCCTCCTCCTCGCATCTCTCTCCTCCCTCCTCTCTCCTCCTCCCTCCTCCTCTTCTTCTCTCCTCCCTCCTCCTCCTCCTCCTCCTCCTCCTCTCCTCCTCCTCCTCCTCCTCCCCTCCTCCTCCCCCTCCTCCTCCTCCGCTCGGAGGTCGAGCACCAGGGCGCGCGAGAGCGCGCGAGGGCGCGCGTGCGCGGGCGGGCCGCGATGAAGCGCACGGCCGCGGAGGCGTTCGCGCCGAGCGGCGCGGCGCTGCTCGACCCCAAGGCGTACTTCGCCCAGTACTGCCAGCACGCGGCCTCCGCCGCGCAGGCGCCGCCGGCGGTGGCTCCGGGCTCGGCCGCGGCCGCCGCGGCGCCGGCCGCGGCAGCCGCCGCGCAGGCGCCCGCCAGTCTGATCTCCGATGGTCTGTTGTGCGCGATGCGACGCTGTTGTCCGAGGCCTCGACATCCCTCGGATGTTGACAGACCTCCTACCCTGACACGTCGATTCAGGAATTGCCCGTTTTCGGCGGCCCCGTTTGGTCCGCCCCACTCCATGCGGTCAGGCCGAGTCGCCCGTCTGGCTGTCGACCATTCGAAAGTCAGGGGTGGACAGACCTCCTACCCTGACGCGTCGATTAAGGAATTGGCCGTTTTCGGTTCGCGAGAGGGCGTCGCGGCCGTTATTTTTGCGGGTCCAGGTCCGTCGGTTTCGGTCCCAGGCCGTTCTCACTAAGGGGAGGTTTGTCCACCGCCGAGTCTCCGAATCTCCGACGTTTGAGCTTTGGAGAGGGCTCGCTGGTTCCTGGAAGGTTACGCCTCCGGAAGCTTGCCAGCGGCTGCGCCCCGCCGAGAGCGTTCTGGGGGTGGCCACATCGTCCCGAAATGCCGCCGGAGCCGACGGTGTCTTTGTTTCAATCTTGGCGTTGTTCCTTGATCTTGGCCTGGGGGAATATAGGGCCCCAGGAGCACTGGATCCGGGAAGAAGATTTGGCCCCAGGACTCTGGGGCTGGGGATCGAAGAGACAAATCGCATCTTCGGGTGTCTGGGGAGAGTTCCTGAGGTCTTCGCACCCTTGGCTTTCGGAGTTCTGTTTTTGCTGCCGTTTCTGGAGGTTCTAGTCGACACCTGCTAGACAGCTTCAGGTGGAACCTGGGAGGGGTCTCGGGACTGATGGTGAGCGGATGTCGATGGGTTTTGGGTCCCGCCGTTTTTTTTTGTTTCTTGCTTCCCAGGGCTTCAGGAACTGCCAAGGATAGAGACGAGTTTTGGGGGAAGGCTTCTCAGAAGGAGGCCTCTTTCTTAGAAGGCGCGCCCTTGTCTGTAGACGTAAGGCTGGCACCCTCTAAGAAGCAGCCTCCTCCTAAGGACCCTGCCCCCCTCCCCCTACCCCCTGTGCGCGCCGCCAATCCTCGGCCACACCCTGGTGAGAGTGGCTCTTCGCCAGAGGGGGAAGCGTGGCCCTCGATGATCTTACCAGCCTCGAACTTATCCTTATCCCTAAGATTGGCACGCCAAAAGGCGATGACAATCTTAGGGATGCGCCCTCAAAAAATAAGGGAATCCCTAAGATTGGCATCGTGATGAGGAGATGTCCAGCATAGGGATAGGGGTAGGTTCCAGGCTGGTAATGATCTGCTTCTCCTGGGGGGGTCTCACCCCTGGCGCGCAGGACAGCGCACGGCTGCACCGCACGCCGCGATCGATCCGCAGAGCCTCGCACCAGAGGCCGCGCTTGGCGCCTGCCTGGGGCCACCCCCCGCGTGCAGCCGGCGTTTCTCGTGGTCGAAGGGCACGTTTCCACCGTCTTCGTCGTCGTCGTCGTCGCCTAGGGCCACCCCCCGTGTGCAGCCGGCGTCCCCCGTGGTCGGGAAGAAACGTGTCCGTAATTACTTCCTCGGCCTCGCGGGCCGGGCCCGCCTGGGCCGTGACCCCGCTGGCACGGGGCGTTCCTGTCGTGGGTGCCCCGCGCGGAGCGCGTCTGTGCGACCGCGCCTTCGCGGGGTCGCGCCGCGGAAGCCAGACCGCGAGGGCGCGGACACGGATACGTTTGCCGCTGATGTGTCGAGGGAGACAGAGCGCCATAAACTACAAACATTCGGCGCTCCGCGCGGATATCTTGGATCCGCGCTGAGGCCCCCCCCCTGCGGCGCCTCCGGCGCCGCCTTTGGTGCGCTCTGCGCGCCAGGGAGGGGGGTCCAGCGCAGAAATCCGCGCGAGCGCCATTTTTGTGGCGTTGTTTCTTCTTCTTCTTCTTATTATTATTATTATTATTATTATTCCTCTTCTTCCTGTTATTATTGTTCTTCTTTGTCTTTTGTTATTCTTCTTGCTATTATTTCATGAGCCCCCTCTTGCCAGAGGCGCCCGCGGCAGCGGCCGAGGGGGAGAAGAGCGACGTGCACAAGCAGGCGCCTGAGACACCTCAACGGGCGGCGTGTGCGCAGGGGCTTCGGGGCCTCTGGTCTCCTCGTGGGGTTTCGTCGGAGCTCCCTCGTCAGGGACCGAGGTGGTCAGATAGCGCAGGGTTCTCTCGGCGGCGAGCAACGGCGGGAAGTGAGAAGGAAAAGGCCATCTCAGAAGGCGGCGGCACTTCTCGGAAGCCTTCGCGCCTCCCGAGAAGTTTTTTGTGTCTTCGGGGAAGGCTCACAGAATTCCTCAGAAGGCCGGGAGACTTCCGAGCCTTCTGAGAAGGCCTACAGTCGGGGCCCTGAAGAAGGAACCCTTTTGGTTGGGGAGGGGCTCCGCGTTCCTTAAGTGTTTCACAGCTTGCCTCAGGTTTTCCTTATGTTTTCGATGGGAAATCGAAGCTTAACTTCTGGCAAAAAGGGGCGTCGTTCCTTATTTAGGGTTCCTTAGGTCAACGCCCCGACTGTACTCCTTTCCACTTCCCCCCCGGGCTCGCCACCGATCTTCATTTCCGGCAAGTCGCGGGGCTTCCACGGGCTTCAGAGGCGACGTCATGAGGGCGGAGGCCCAGGGGAGGACGCGTCGACCCCCAAGCGTCCGAGCATTGCCGACAGGGGCCCGGTGGACCACTTCGCTCGGGAGCGCGCGGTTTCGCAGTCGGGGGCCTACTTATCTCCGGTCTATCGGCATGGGCTTCCCCAGTCGTCCCTCGACTTCCTCCCCCGACTTCCACGGCCTTCGGAGGTCTCTCCTCCTCCTCCTCCTCCTCCTCCTCCTCCTCCTCCTCCTGCCCAAAGGGAGCCGCCTGTATCCCCATCTCGGGGGCAAATCGGCCAGTGGGGCCCAGGCCACCCCAGTGGGGATCGGGATCGGTTAAACGATGCTCAATGATTTCTTGAATCCCGTTCCTTCCTTTGATTGGGGCCTTCGGGGCCCGTGAATTAGGGGAACGAGCAATGACACAAACACACAAGCTCGGACTTCTCGGATCGGCGCTGGACCGCACTGGCGGCGCCGGAGGCGCCGCCCCTGGCGCTCTCCGCGCGCCAGGAGGGGGGGGTGCCCAGCGCCGATCCGAGAAGTCCGCGCGCGGACCTCCGAGTTTCTATGCTTGTGCCATGTTTCGTTCCCCTATGAATGGCCCCTGGGGCCATCGATACTGGGTCTGGTATTTACTCAAGGCTGGCCCTCCGGGAAGGGGTCAGGACCTCCTGGGGTTGAAATCGCCTGGCGCGCTCCGCTACTCGCAGAGTGCCCGCTCGCAAGCGTCAGAACCTAAAACATGTCCTCCTCCGCGTAAAGGGTCGCAAATCCCTCGTGGCGGATCCAGGCCATTTGCGAGTGGCTACTTTGCGAGTGGTGGAGCGCGCTTGCCCAGAGAACAGAAGCAGCGGCGCACATCTGGGGGCACCTGGCCTCCGAGCGCCCTCTGCGACTCCGCCGCCCGGCAGGGCGGAGGTCGCAGAGGCGGGGCATTTGACCTGGGCTTCCCCTCGGTAGGGACGATTTTTCGACTATGTTCGATCATTTTGAATATTTCTTGATCGTTTTTTTTTTCTCATTTTCCCTCCAACATCCGCCTGTAGGGGCACATGCCCGACCTAACCCTACCCCCTCCCGTGCCCCTCCCCGCCAGGGGAGAGAACAGTGAGGGAATCGACTCAGTTCCGACGCTTCTTTTCTCCGCTCGTTTCTACGTTTTCTTGGGACTGGCGACGACGAAGACGACGACGACGACGACGACGACGGCGAAGACAGCATCTCACACACGCTGAAGGGTCGGCGGATTCTTTGGAAGGCCATGGGCACCTCCAGCGGAGGGGGCAGAGCGATTGCAGGTCGACCCGGCACGTGGTGAGTCGATCTGTCGCGACGGCACGGCGACCCGTCGCGATGGTGAGTCGATGTACGACGGACGCCACGATGGCGAGCAAGGCTTATGCTGCTAAGTCGATCCTCTCGGAGGCCTCCCCAGAGATCCGATGTGGTGATTGTTTCAACGGGGTCCCAGGAAGTCTCGACCCATTCCCCAGCACCGGTTTTTCATCCTGAGTCGTTTTTTGACGGTCCTGGCGCCCGGCGAGGGCCGGAAGATCGAGAAGCACCTCCGTCTTGATTCTATAGGTTTACGCCGCATCCGCCGACCTTTCTATAAAGTATTGCGCTTCCGGGACTGCATTCCACGAGGCTTGTTCGAATCATGACACGTCTCTTGACATCGTTCCTGTTGCTTCGTGGCTGTTATCTTATTTTCCGGGACCCACGCTTCGTCCCGATCCGTTCCCTGGCGGGCTCCCGTTGGGATGTCCGTTGGGATCTCCTGGCGAGGATTCTCGCGGGCCTCTTCGAGGCAGTTTCGAATGGTCTTGGGGGCCGTTTTGGGGCCTCTTGGAGGCTCCTTGGGGCCTCGTGGGTGGCTCATGGGGACCTCTTGGGGCCGCTTGGGGGCCTCTTGGGTCCTTCGGAGAGTTTCGTTGGGCGGAGCGCTGGAATTCGCAGTTCGTGGTCCCTCTCTTGGGCCCTTCTTGGGGCCGTCTTGGAGCTCTATTGGGCCGTCCACGGCGCCGCCTGGGCCACGTCAGAGTCTTTTGGGTTGTCTTTTGGGCCTCCTGGGAGCCTCGTGGGCCGTCTTGGGGTGGTCCTGGTGGCCTCGTGGGGGCCTCGTGGACGGTTTTCAACGCCGTGAAGGCTAATTTGTTGGATATGCTGGAAATGCACGTTTTCCCAAGGAAATTTGAAGATGTTGGATTCTTGGGGGCTTCTTGGGAGGCCTCTTGGAGGCTTCGTGGGGTGTCTTGGCGGCCTCTTGGGCCGTTTTGAGCTCATCTTGGGCGTCTTGGAACGATCTTTCGGCGGTTTTGGGTTCTCGTGGACCGTCTTAGCGGCTTCCTGGGAGGCGTCAAATGCTGTCGTGCAGCTCCAGAGCGAGCCCAGGGAGCCCAGACCGCCCCGGGTGAGTTCGTTCTGGGGTCGTCCCGGGCGAGTGGGTGGGGGTCAAATTTTTCGGTTTGGGGTCATGGGGGGGGATTCTTGAGGGGGAACAATCTCACACGCCTGGAGACCCACAAGGGGTCGGCGGATTTTTTCAATGTGTTGGAGGTCTGCGTCCGAGGGCGCCCAGGCGGGACCCGGCCGGGACCGGCGGCCTGCTCCCGGCCGGGCGTTGGCGGATTTCTAAATTGGCAGTTTCGCTCGGGACATCCTCTAAAAAATGGAGTTGGCGTTGGCTACAGGCCGCCTTTGTGTTCAGGTCGCTCTTGGAGCGCCCAAAAGGGTCCCTAGAAGGCCACAGGACGGCTCCAGAGGGCCCAGAGGGCCCGCATGACAGCCCAAGAGGCCTCCAAGAGCACTCCCAAGAGGGCCCAAGAGGCCAAAATCGTTAAATTCCCAAGGGGAAACGTATATATGTAGTATATACGATTTTCTCGTCTTCACGGCGTCGAAGACGGTCCAAGAGTCCCCCAAGACCGAACCGCGACGGCACAGTAGACTCTCCAAGACGGCCGAAGAGGGCGCCAAGACAGCCCAAGAGGCTCCCAAGAAGGCCCACGAGGGCCCCAAGAGGGGCCCAAGAGGGAGAGCCCGAATCGAAAATCGGAGCATCCCGCCCAAAGATGGCCCTAGGAGGCCCCAGGAGACGCCCAAGAGGTCCCAAGAGGCCCCCGAGAGGCCTCCAAGATGCCCCCAAAGGCCCCCAAGAGGCCCAAAAGAGGCCCCAAGAGGACCCAAAACGGCCCGCGAGAAGCCTCCCAAGAGAGCCCAACGAACTTTCACTTCGTCTCATTCTCAATACCCCGGCTCGGTGGCGGGATGAACCGAAGGTCACTAGATATTCCATCTCCTTATCCCGAATTCGGGTTACACAGCCCCAAGACAGCTCAAGAGGGCCCGAAAGCGGCTCCAGAGGGATCCAAGAGGGCTTCATGCTACAGGCCTCTTGGACCGTCTTGGGGTTATCTCCGGTCGTATTCAAAATATAATGGGCCGTCGGAGGCATCCTGGGCATTCCTGGGAGGGGTGAGGGATCTAGTCCGTTTTACCAGATCCCCCCCCTGCAAGCCAGTCGGACCGAACCCCAAGGGGACGGCGGATAGCTCGGGATCTTGAAGGTGGACGCGGGGGCCGCGTGGTAACTGACCGCTTGCGCACAATACAAGTAATAGCGGTTCCAGGGCGTGAATCTGGCTGCACTTTTGTAGGTCTTGGTCGCCGAGGCATGAACCCAGAGTACTTTGCAATGGGTCGTGGCCTCGGAGGCGCGTAGCGCGTGTGCTTTACGAAGGATCTGCGCCTCGGGAGCGCGAGCGTCGTATATTTTACGAGGGATCCTTGAATCGGGCACCGCGCAGCCCCCTCCTGTTCGCACAAGCGTTCCAGTTTTGACGTCCCCATGTGATGCCACACCTGCAACGAACGTTCGAACACTCGCTTCCTGTTCTTGTCAGGTCAGGTTTTTTCAATGTGTTGGAGGTCTGCGTCCGAGGGCGCCCAGGCGGGACCCGGCCGGGACCGGCGGCCTGCTCGTATGTATCGCTCTGTTGTTAGCCCTCCCGGCAGGTGGAGGAGGCGTCAGCCGTGAGGCGCCGCCGGCCGCGCCTCCAAACGGGGGGGGGGAGGACAGCAGGTGGCGACCGCGTGCGTGTGGGCCTGAGTCAGGAGGGGAAAAACCATACAGGCACAATGAGTCGTCGGCTCTCAGGAGAAGATGGGAGAATATGGAGGGTGGAGGGGCGGCGAAGACCCAAAACATATGGGAACATAGATGGGGAATCCTGTGATTCGTGTCGATTTTTTTGTGGGTCCCAGGGCCCCTGCACCGAGATCGGCAGCGCGGTCCTTTCCCACTTTTTCTCAGGGGCAACGATAGGGAGGGATAGGCCTACGGTCTAGGGGGGGGACGCATCGACCCCCAGTCGTCCACTGATCGCCGACAGGGGCCTAGTCGGGGCATCGGCCAGAGGTGCGCCGCGATCGTCAAGGAGAAGGGCGACAAGTTCACCACCCGGGTGCAGCTGGCCGCCCTGCACACGATGGCCACCAAGAGCTCCTGGCACCTGAGGGCGGAGCTCATCAAGCAGCCTCACGTCCGCAAGCTCTTCGAGAGGGTGGCCGCGATCCTCAAGAGGCCCCCCGCGGGCCTCGACGTCGAGGCGCTGTCCCAGACCGCGTGGGATCTCATCCAGTTCCCCGAGGAGGCGCGCGGCGACGGCGACGCCTCGAGACCCCGAGATCCTGGCGTCGCCTCTCTCGCTCTCTCTCTCTCTCTCTGTCTCTCTCTCTCTCTGTCTCTCTCTCTCTGTCTCTCTCTCTCTCTCTCTGTCTCTCTCTCTCTTTGTCTCCCTCTCTCTCTCTCTGTCTCCCTCTCTCTCTGTCTCCCTCTCTCTCTCTCTCTCTCTGTCTCTCTCTCTCTCTCTCTCTATTCGCACGCGGGCGCTTTCGCCCCGTTCCGGGCCCCGGGGGGCCGCTCCGACCGATCCAGTTCGAGGCGGGCCGCAGAGTGATGGGGGCGGAAAAGAGGGGGGTGGTGACTAGGGGGGGGTGGATTTCATGGCGCGGGCCATGATATTTCCCCAGATTTCATGGCGCCTCTTCTTATTTCATTACGTCCCTGGCCCCCCCGCTGGGCCGCGCACATGCCGCCGGTCATGATTTGCACCCCCCCCTCTTTGACGCCCCCCTCTTTGCCGCTCCCGAAGAGTGATGGGGTCCACGGCTCCAGGCGTGATTCGCTCTGGCGGTGTTGCGTCTGCTTCGCGATGCGAGGGTGCAGGAGATGCTCAAGCAACGAGCCGATGCCGCCACCACTCCCTTGTGTTCGCCCTGCTGGGCCTCCTGGGGATGCCCTCGTCGCCACGGCAGGAGTCGCCCCGATCTTCGGGTCACAACGCACCCTGGGATGAGGTCCGCTGGTAGCGGCATCGGTATCGAAGACGCCTGCGTCGACTACACGTAACAGTGACCTTCTCTCGCAGGGCTAGAGGTTGACACCAACACCAATACCGGCGGCGTGCCTGCACCGAGGGAACAAGATGCCGATCTCGATGGCTCAAGTGAGCCAAGCCAAGTGAGGCTGGGAGTACCCCAGAAAGCCCCCGACCAGGAGCCCTGCCAAGGGTGGGGTGCCGTCTCTTCTTACTTACTCACAATTCTCATACATCCTCCTTTACTCTTTTGCACACCCTGCCAGAGCCGAGATGGCCGGACGCTGCGCCATGTGCCTGGCTGGAGGCATTGACACCCTGGCGCTTCCTGGTGCAGCCGTGTGTGCCGCTCATGCGGGCGCCCCGCCATCGCGCGGGACGGTGCTCCAATTGGCGCGGGCACTCGAGGCGCCTGGCGCCCCTGCTGCCGTCGCCGGTGCCATGATCACCGAGGCTGCGGGCACTGGCGCCACGCAGGGCATGAACGTCGACACCAACGGCGACATTGGCGAGTCTGACCTCACTCAGGCTGCTGGCGCGCTGCATATATCTGGAGCCCCTGCGCCACCTGGACTCGCTCATCCAGCAGCGCCAGCCGCTGCAGCAGCCGGGGCCGCGGCGCCACAGCACATCATCGTCTCGGACGACCTCTTCGCTTTGTACGTGGAGGACTGCCTCCTCAGCGACTTCGCCGTAGCCGCAGCCGGTACTGCTACGGTCCGGCTCGTGCCCCGCAGCCAGATGGGCTCCTGGGCGATGCTGGATGGTGTGCTTCGCCATCTCGGATTCCAAAGCGGTCATGTTGATGCGTGGATGGCCTTGGGGGTCGTCAGAACCCGGACGACGAAGGAGCAGGCGACAGCGCTGCAGCGGCGGCTTGAGCTCGCACGCACGCTGCTGACCCTGGTGGATGCCCAGCGGTGGCCCGAGCCCGACATCGAGAAGGCTGACGAGGCCATGGGGCGGTTGGCGGCCGCCGCGGACGCTATCCAGCGGGAGCTGGCGAGCACGGGAGGGCGTCGAGGGCTCAATCCTCCCTCGCGGCGGCTCTGCCAGGAGCTCGGGGTCATGGGCCTGACACTCCTTGACACCCTGTGGCCAGAGAGCGGCGTGGTCGGCACGCAGTGCTCGAATCATCCCGGACTCACGCCAGCGCAGCTCTCGCGGGCACTCCCCGCCGCAGAGGCGACGGACATGTGCCTTGCCTTGTGTTCGACCGCGTCGGACGCTTGCTGGACGCGCCTGGCCGGCAAGGAGGTGGTCATCTGGTCTCCGGCTGCCGCCGAGGAGTTCGGTCGCTTGCTGGGAGGCTACGTGCGCCATTTGGGGCAGGGCCACCGCGGCACCACGCTGCGGTTGGTGTGCCCCCTCGACGACTTGCCGGGCTGCTCCACGCCGACGGCGATCCTGCAGCATTGGGCTCACCCTGGCTTGGGAGAGCGGTGGGCGGGAGTGTACATTGGCCAAGGTGGAGTTCATGCTGCAGCCGCTGGAACAGATTAGCCCGGGCGGCCGCTTTCCGCAGGTCTCGTGGCGGCCAGTGGGCCTATTCACCTTCCAGCACGAGGCGCTGCTCGCGCTGCCGACGACGCTGACGATGGAGGAGCCCTGGAAACAGGTCGCGGTAGGGCTGGCGACCATCAGCCTTGATTTCCCGACTCGTGCCGAAGCCCGGGCACTGGAGGTGACCACTGCGGTGCTGGCAGCGGGGTGGAATCAGTCTGAGCCGCGACGAAGCCCGGCTTCGCAGAAGTCGGACCCCCGACTGCGCCTTACGTTGTACTCCGGCGACGCCGCGTGCACCGTGCTCGACGCCGCCGCCTTCGCCCGCCAGCTCCAGAGGCTGCTCCTCCCGATGGGGGGTGCCGCCGCCCGTGGCGACGTCTTCATGGACGATGCGGCGCTGATCATGACCACCACGGGCCCAGGCGCATTCACAGTGGCGGGGGGCAACTGCTTGGAGCTCCTCCCGCTGAGCGCGAGGACTGCGGTGATACGCGCCAGGCTGGATGAGGCCAAGTGGGAGGAGGACATGCGGGACTGGCAGGCCGCAGATCCTCAGCGAAGTGTTTACCACCTTCGCCATAAGCGGCTGTTCAACGAGGGCGGACTCTGGGCCTCCGCGCCGGGGTCGGCGAACCGGCAGCGGCAACTTGCAGCCCGCACGGACGAGGTGTCGGCGCGTCTCTTGCTGCAGCTGCAGGGTCCGCCAGGCCCCCGGCCCGACACCGCTGTGCAGGCGGTGGGCGATATGATCCAGAAGGCTCTCGGCCAGCAGGTCAAGCCCATTCGTCCTGAGGAGGCTCTGGAGGCCTACTCCCTTCGTCCCGAGCGCGGTACGATGGTGGGCTCCCTTACTGGCCGCCTGGAGCTGGCCGTTCGCTCGCCGGCTGAGGCCCGCCATCTGCATGAGTTACTCCACGGCCGTGGCATTCAGCTCGGGGTCGACCTGGTGTCTCTGCAGGTGCAGCTCACTCCGCTCGCGGCTCGGCCGGGAAACGGCCGCCGGTGCTGGGCGACCCGGCCGGCCTGCGCCGGAGCCCATTCGAGGCCGGCGATCTCCGCGTTATCCTCATCCACTGTCGGGCGCGGCGGGTGGCCGAGGCTTCCGACGCACAGGCCATGCGCCCAGCAGCGCCGACCTTGCCGCCAGCGGCCGCGCCGCCAAGCCTAGCAGCGCCGCGGCCGCCACCCCCGCCGCCGCAGCCCCCTCGATCGGCCCGGCCACGCGTGGACAGCGGGCTCGGCCCGTATGCGGGCGACTTCAGAGTGGCGACTTGGAACGCCCAGGGGCTTTTTGCGGCTTGTCCGCAGCTCCGTCGTGAAAGGGGCGCCCACGTTCGGCGTCTCCTTCGAGATCACGACGCAGTCATCGTGACAGAGACGCATTCGACGCCGGAGGTGGAGGCGATCAGCGCTCGCGACGGGCAAGCCTATTTCGGCGAGTTCCCAGCATTCTGGGCGCACGGCTCTTCCGCCAGGGCTGGCGTGGGCGTGATCGTCACGACTGCCTTCTTGAAGCGATTCGCTCCCACTTCGATTGGCGGATCTTGGTGCCCGGGCGTGCCGGCGAGTTGTGGCTGAATGGCGAGAAAGGTGACCTTTCCATCTTTGCAGTGTACTTCGCCACGGGCTCGCACGAGAGGGCCGAGGAGGACTCCGCCATCACGGCCAAGACGTCCAGGCAGCGGATGCGACGTACTCTGGCGCCTCAGATTGCACCGTCGTCGCGGCGGCTCAGCCTGCTGATGGGGGACTTCAATTGGGTGGCTGATGAGCTGGGGCGCATTCAGATTGAGGGCCACGGGCCGAGCGGCGGGCGCGACCGGAGGGAGGAGCAGCACTTTGGGCAGCAGTTGCAAGGCACCGACATGGTGCTGCGGCGCCATTCAGCGTACACGCACCAGCACCAGGGAGTCTTATCTCGTCTGGACTGGTGTTATGCGAATCTACATCCGAGTTGCTTCCTCAATGAGCGGGCGGGGACGGCAGCGCTGAACTGGGTCCGGTCGGAGTCGACTGGGCAATAGCTCAGCGCGCACCGGGCCATTTCCGCATTCCGATGCGCGCCGCAGGAGTCGCGGGCCGGGGACTCAGGGCGCACCCTGCCTCCAGAGATGGGGTACTGCCCTGCCTGGAAGGACCGGGCCCAGCTGATCTTCACCGAGTGGCTGGCCGGCGATCGCAGTGGCATGGCGACGTCCCCTTTTGGTCGTCTCCGGCTGCTGAAGGAAGCGATGGCCGAGGCTGCCGTGGGGCTCCAGCGCGCTGCCCCGCGCGAGCTGCCACGGGGCGACGCCGAGGGCCGTCTCTCTTGGTCGATGCGGGGCTTGCAGGGCGCGCAGCGTCAGGACCGCGATCTTCTGCTGCAAATGGCGGAGGCGGTGCCGGAGCTCGCCCCTTGTTTGACGATGCCGCCGTTGGAAGCCCGTCGCTTTCTGCAGGACGCAGCCCGCGTTTACGCGAAGGCCGCTGCACGAGCCCAGCTGGAGGAGGTGCAGGTGGCAACGAAAGCCGGCGAGTCCGATGGGACGGTCCGCGGTTTGCGCCACCGGGCCATGCAGACACTCCGCCGCTTGCGCCCGCGGGCGGATCACGCCCTATCGGCGATGCAGCTGCCCGACGGCTCGGTCACCGCGGACCCGCAGCGTTCTGCCCCCGCCTTGGTCCGGCACTGGGCCGAGCACTTCCGGGCCAAGGGCGTCGGCAGGTTGGAGGAGATCGAACAGCGGTTCGCGGCGATAGCGAGTTTTGCGGAGGTGATGCCCGAGTGCGAGGTGGCGGCGGCTCACGTGCGACAGGCGCTTGAGGCAGCTGGTGCAACGGCTCCTGGGCCAGATGGCATCCCGTATAGCTTCTGGCGGTGCATCGGAGAGCTTGGCGTGGAAGTGCTCGCGGACACCATGGCGGCGATGATGGCTGAAGGGTCAGATGAGACGATCATGCGTGAGTACGGCTCGGGAGATAACGGGTTCGGCCCCTGCGACTTCAACGGGAGTTTGCTCGCGCTGCTGCCGAAAAAGCCCACGGTGCACGACCCTGCTGCAGGGGCTTTCTTCTGCCCAGCCGACACGCGGCCACTCATGCTCGTGGACGCCTCGAACCGCCTGCTGGCCAGTGCTCTGCGGAACGCCATTGAGCCAGCGATTGAGCAGCTCGTTGGAGCGAGTCAGCGGGGTTTCCTTCGCGGCCGCTCCATTTTGGCCAACGTCGTTGACCTCGAGGCGGCCATGCAGGCCGCCGCCTGGGATGACGACCAGCCGTATACCATTCTCTTCGACATGCGGGCGGCGTTTCCCAGCATAGAGCACGGCTACCTCCATCGCGTGCTGGAGAAGCTGGGGGTGCCTCAGGGCGTCCGCGCTGCTATCCGCGCGCTGTATGCAGGACAGTGCTGCCGCTTGGCGATGGCGGGGCAGTGGTGGGAGGGCTTCACGATCACGGCGGGCATTCGGCAGGGATGTCCTCTCAGCCCCTGGCTCTTTGTGCTCGTGACGGAGCCATGTAACCGCCAGTTGGACACAGTCGAAGGCCGCCGCGAGCGCTGCGCATTCGCCGATGACCTCGCTCTGGCGGGAGCCGGCGGGCACCGGGCGTGGCCGCAGCTGAACCGCCTCTTCGCGCGCTTCGCCGCAGCGTCTGGGCTGCACCTGAACCTCGCGAAGACTGATGTTGCCCCTTTGGACGTGGCAGCCCGGCGCCGCGGCGGACGCCTGGCGACAGGCGGTGCCAGACTGGGGCGCGGTGCGGATCGCCCACTCTGGCACGTACCTGGGATTCGAGGTCGGCCCAGCGGCGGCGGAGAGTGGATGGGACGCCCCCGTGCGGAAGTACAAGGAGGCGGTTTGCAATTGGGCTGGTCGGGTGCACGGCGTGCACCTGGCGACATTAGCATACGACGTCTTCGCGATATCGAAGCTACAGTATGTGGCGCAGTTGCATGGGGCGCCTCCTGGCCGGTCACGGTTGGAGCAGTGGGCGATTCAATATCTCTTCCCTGGCCGGTACAAGTGGTTGCCCCCTGGCGTGGCCCAGCAGTGGCGGGATGAGTTCAGGATGCCGTGCCAGCTGGCGTCTCTCACCACCGCCGGCCCCGCGGCCCAGCTTCGGGTGGCTCTGGGGGGGACTACCGGCGCCGCCTCCGTCTGGACGAGCTGCGGGGCCGCCTCGAGGCAGCTCGCTCCCGTGCCGCGGCCTCTTCCTGGGACATCGAGTGGCGATGGCGCGCTTGGTTCACGGCCGGCCCTGTCCAGAAACTTCAAGCCGCGATGGAAGGCTTGGCCCGCCAGGGCATCACAGAGTCCAGCGCCATGGAGCAGGGGGCGGGGCGCGGCCCGCGCCCCATCCCCCTCGCGACCTGGCGGCGTGCCCGCCGGCGGCTCCAGTCATCGGCGGCGACGCTCTTGCGGCGGAGGCATTGGCTTCGAGTGGGTTTCGCCCAGCTGAGCGCCAAAGTCCGCAAATGGCACGACCCGGGCTCCCTGCCGGGCCGCCGGGCCCAGCGGTGCCGACTGGTCACGCAGCGGCTGCCGAAGCGCACGGCACCGCGAGTGCGAGCGGCCGTGCTGCGCACCTGGCTCAACGGCCGGTGCACAGGGCGCCGCTTTGGGGCCCGCGGAGGGCGCTGCTTCTTCGGCTGCACTGGGGGCGATGACGACGTCCGGCACTACGTCCGCTGCCGGCATCTCTGGCGATTCGGGGTGGACAAGCTAGGTTTGGCAGACCCAGGGCACCCGGAGGCCCGCACCACGCGGGCGCTCCTGTGGCACGCCGGAGTCTTCTTCAGGAAGTGGCCCGCACGGCAACGGTGATCGCCGTCGGCTACAAGGCCCACGCCGTTGTCAGCCACACGGCGAGGGCCAACCTCGACATCCAGAGGGCGTTCGCGGAGGTCCTCCGGCAACTCCAGGAACGGCAGCCCGCGGCGTGTGAGGCGGGCGGCGGCGGGTAGTTGTGAGAGCGTCATTTCTCCGCCCTCCTCCCTCCTGTCCTCTGCCTCCTCCTCCTCTCCTCCCCCCCGTACTTTTCAAACGCATGATGCCGTTGATCAGTGCCATCTTTGCTGGCAGCACGCCCAGACGAGGTTGCACTTGAGGGCAGTTTTATTCCTCACCAGCGGCCTTTCACGCGCCGAAATTCGTGACATTTTCGTTGCGTGCTCGAGGCTGTTTTGTTGGATGCCGGCCCATGCGTTTATTCCCCGCTCTGCTGGTGTTTTTGTCGTGTGGCTTCGTTTTTGGAGCGTTGGTTTGCTCGGGGGGGCTCTGGCACAGACGGAACCAACAGCGAAACGCAGGACTGTTGCACAGCTTGTGACAGCTCTCCCGGCCATGTCTGGCGGCAGCGCGCTCAGACGAGGTTGCACTTGAGGACCGTTTGATTCCTCACCGGCAGCCCATCAAGCGCCGAAATTCGGGACATTTTCGTTGCGTGCTCGAGGCTGTTTTGTTTGGTACTGGCTCACGCGTGTATTTTCCGCGCAGCTGGTGTATATGTCGTTTTTTTTTTTTTGTTTTTGAATGTTGGGAGGCTCGGGGGGGGCTCTCCCGCGCAGACGGAACCATCGGCGGTACGTAGGACAGTTGTTCAGCTTGTGAATGCTGTCCTGGCCATGTCAGTCGGCAGCACGCCCAGACGAGGTTGCATTTGAGAGCCGTTGTATTCCTCACCGGCAGCCTCTCTAGCGCCAAGTCTCGTGCTCGTTGCGAGCTCAAGGCTGTTTTGTTTGATGCCGGCCCATGCGCTTATTTTCCGCCCTGCTGGTGTATATGTCGCGGGGCTTTGATTTTGGTGTGTTGGGTGGCTCGGGGGGGCTCCCGCATTGACGGAACCCACAGCGGAACGCAAGGCAGTTGTACAGCGTGCGAGTGCTGTCTTAGCCGCGGGGCCGGCAGTGACGGCGTGGGGCCGCACGGGGCCGCGCCCGCTACGAAGGTCCCACATTATCCTCTCTTCTCTTCCTCCTTCGCTCGCCTCCCGGAGGCGGAGCTCCGGCTATCCCCTTCCGGGGTGGGCCGGATCTTTGCCTCCTCTCCTTGTCTCGTCTTCGCTCCCCCCATGCACGTCGTCTCGCCCGGCCGCCGGCGAGGGCCGCTTAAAGGGCTATAGGTGGCGCGTTGGTCTGCACGAGCGTTCCTCCGCCCCTCCGCCCCCCCCGTGCTCTCGATGGGCCGTCCGGGGTGAATTCGTGCATGGGGGTTTTGACCCCGCCCACTGCCCTTCGGCCGGGCCTCCGCAGGTCCGCCCGGCCTCCGGGGTCCCTCGGAGCCTCCGCTGGTCCGCTCCAGGCCTCGGTCGGGCGTTGGGGCTCCAAGACGAAACATTCATCCCGGGTGATATATATTTGTTTGTCTTACTTGCATTCACGGCTCGCGTTCTTCCTGATTATTTTCCTTCTGCCCCTTTTTTCCCGCTGTGGCGATCCATGTTCTCTTGGAGCGGGGCTCCAAGAGCATGCCCGGACATGGGTGATCTTTCAGTTTTGGCCTGGAGGGCCCCCCTGGCAGCTCTTCTAACGGCACGCGAGCTCATCTGTTCTGTCCGCTGCGTCCCCTCAGCTTTCCTCCTCCTCCTCCCAAAATAGCGCTGGAAAAAAAAAAAGATGCCGATCTCGATGATGCTGGTAATATTCTGGGTTCCAAGGAGATCGAAATATCACCACCAACGCCGAAATCTAGGATCATCTTCCCCCTGTGGAGGCGACCCCCTGTGTTGGCGTTGGTGCCCCTCTCCAGGCCTCCAACTTTCGCTGGAGTGACCTTCGGTGCGGGCCCGGGGGTCCCCCGATCGCCGACTGCGATGCGATGGTTGCGTCTTGCGCGCTTGGGTCTGGGCCCCCCGCGGCTCCCCGAAAGCCGCGCACCAAAGGCCACTCTTGGCCGTTGTCACTCTTGCGCGTAGCCGGGCTACGGCGAATCACCGCCGCCCCTTTGCCTTTTAGAATCGCCCGTGTGGCCGAACGTCGTGGCCACTTTGGGAACCCTTCGGGGAACATTTGGGGGAACACTTGGGGGAGGATGGCGGGGAAGATCAGGAGGAGGAGGAGGAGGAGGAGGAGGGGGCGTCTTGGGAGCCTCTGACGGCACTCTTGGCGCCTCGTGGGAGTTTTTGGGGGGCCTCTTGGAGGCATCGTGGGGGCCCCATTGGAGCTTTGGGGGGCCTTTGGGGGCTTTTTGGGAGCCTCTTCGGCCCGCTCACGGCGCGCGTCGGAAGCCGTCGTGGGGGCCGTGGGGGCCCCTCTGAACCGACTTGGGGCCCTCTTGGGGTGGGTACTTCCTCTGGGGCCGTTTCGGAGGCCATCTAGGAGGCCATCCTGGACGTCTTGGAGGCCTCCTGGGCTGGCTTGAGGCCCTCTTGGGGCCGTCTTGGGAATCTCTATGCCGTTCTTGGGTCATCTTGGATGCCTCTCAGGCAATCTTGAGGCGATGCTTCGGGCCGTCAGAAGGCCGAAAGGAAGCACATGCCAAAATCATCGAACAAGCTACGGGAAATACATGATGATTGCTTTTGCATGCCTTCCTGGGGGCCCTCTTGCGGGCTTCTTGGGCCGTCTTAGAGGCCTCTTGGGGGCCTCTTGGGTCGTTTCAGGCCATATTGGGCCCATCTTCGGCCGTCTTGGCGACTTCTTGGGCGGACTTGGATGCATATTGGACCCTCTTGGGCTGTCTTGGAAGGCATCTTGGACCATCCTGGGCGAACTTGGAGGCCATCATGGCCGTCTCAGAGGCCGTCTGGGCACCGTTTTGACCGGGGATGTCAGCGGGCGTTGCACATTCTGGGTGGCTGGCGCGCTGGGCCGAAGCCCCAGGGGGAGTCTGAAAGGGAACCAAGCACCATGTGAACCTGAGCACGCTAGGCGCCCCTGTTGGCACAAGGGGCGGCGGATCGAAGACGCCTACTCTACGGCGAAGCACCGCCGCCCCCTGTCTTTGGAATCGCCCATGTGGCCGAACGTCGTGGCCAGTGCTCTGCCAAGCTATCGGACCATGTGTTCCCCCAGCCGTTGTGGAAATCCTTCGGGGAACACTTGAAGGTGAAAGAAGAATCGGAGGAGAGGGAGGACAAATAAGGAGCAGGAGGAGGAGGAGGAGAAGGAGGAGGAGGAGGAGGAAGAGGCGGCTGCGGAAGCGGAGACGGAGGCGGAGGCGGAGGCGGAGGGGGAGGAGGTGCAGGGGTGCAGGCAACCAAGAGTACGCCAGCAGGACTGACATACCTCAGCACAAAACGGGGGACAAACAAAAACAAAGCCACACCAGGAAAAGCGAGGGGCCCCAGGACCGCACACGCCAGGATCCAGGGGGGCACAGCCCAAGGACAGCCTATGGCGGGGGCTTGGGGTCCCCTCCTCGCTGTCGTGGCTCGAGCCCACGGCTGATCCTGTCGATCGCCCTGAGCTGGCTCCTCCGAGTGCTGAGGTTGTCCGAGAGGCCTACACACTCACGCTTCAGCTTCCTGAGACTATTAACCTGCAACACTGAACAATGCCCTGCACAACGACGGCAGCAATACATTGAATTAACACGAAAAACGTCGTGCCCAAGAGTCCCGCACTCCAGGATGAGGGGGTCTATATCATCCCCTGAGGCCCCGTCGAGCACAGGTGGCTGGGAGGGGCCTCCTTCGGCCTCGAGGCCTTTTGGGCCGTCTTGATTGATGTCCGCTTGGGGCCGTCTTGGATGCTTCTTGGGGCGTCACGGGGTCATCTTGGAGGCCTTTGGGGCCATCTTGGGGCGATCGTGTCATGGCTCTTGGGGTCGTCTTGGGCCGCCAGAAGGCCGAAAAGAAGCAAACGGCGATATCCTTCGAGAACCTAAGGGAGATCAATTAATCAATGATTTGGACATCTTTCAGCCGTCCTGGAGGACCTCATGGAGGCCTCTTGAGCGGTCTAGAAGGCCTGTTGGGGGCCTCTTGCGCCGTCTTGAAGGCTTCTTGGGCGGACTTTGACGCATCTTAGACCCTCTTGCGCCAGAGGCCATTGTGGATTGTCTTGTGCCGTCTTGGAGGCTATCTTAAATGTTTTGAAGGTCTCTTGGGCCGACTTGAGACCCTCTTGGGGCCGTCTTGGAGCCTTGTTTGGGCGTCACGGGGTCATCTTGGAGGCCTTTGGAGCCATCTTGGGGCGAATATTGTTTCAGGGAGGCTCTAGGGCCGTCTCGGGTTTTCGGAAGGCTGAAAAGAAGCAAAGGACAACATCCTTCAAACACCTAAGGGAAATCACAGAGGTTGGCCTCTTCGGGCCCTCCCGGAGGACCTCTTTGAGGTTCTTGAGCCGTCTTGGAGACTTCTTGGGGGCCTCTTGCGCCTTTGGCCGTGTGGATTTTTGGGCGAAGTTGGGGGATTCTTGGACCCTCCTGGGCCGTGTTGGAGGTCATCGCAGACCATCTTGGGCGATTTTGGAGGCCATCTTGGAGCCATCTGGAGTAGGAGAAAACCTAGGCAGCTTTCCTGTTGGCCGGCGCGCTCGGCCGACGCCCTGGGTTAAGTCTTAAACCTACTCCGAAACCATCAGACATTCAGCACGCCAGGCACCGCTGTGATGAATCAACAGGGGGCGGTGGATCGAAAACGCCCACGTCGAGTCACCGCCGCCCACTGCCCTTTTGGATACGCGTATGTGGCCGAACGCTTGGGCAAAGTTTGGCAACGCTATTGAACCATGCGTTCCCCCAGCCGTTGTGGGAGCCCTTCGGGGAACACGTGGGGGAGGAAGTGGAGGATGAGGAGAGGGAGGAAAAGGGAGTGAGGAGAAGGATGAGGAGACCTTTTGGGAGCTTCTTGCTTGTGTCATTATTAGAGCCTCCTGGGAGCTTCCCAGGGGTCTCTTGGAGGCCCCTTGGTGGCCTCCTTGGGCCTCTTGGGGGCCTCGTGGGGCCTTCGGGGGCCTTCGGGTGCCTCTTGGGGCCTCTTTGGCTGTCTTACGGCGTTCCTGACCAGTCTGGCGCCGTCGGAAGCTTTCTTGGAAGCCTCTCTGGACCGTCTTGGGGCCCTCGTGGGGCGCTTCATGGTCGTTTTGGAGGCCATCTCGGACCGTCTTGGGGCCGTTGGGGAGCCGTCTTGGGAGCCTTTAGGACAGTCCTTGGGCCATCTTGGAGGCTTCTTGGGCGATCTTGGGGCAATTTTGGGGGCCTCCTGGGCCGTCTTGAGCCGTCCAACGCCCATTTTGAAGCAAATGCGAAAACCCTTGAACAACATATGGAAAACCAATGATTCGGGCATCTTCGGGACTTCCTGGAGGCTGGGGGGCCTCTTGGGCAGTGTTGGAGGCCTCTTGGGAGCCTCTTGGGCCGTCTTCGGCAATCTTGAGGCCATTTTGGGCAGTCTTGGGTGCGTTTTGGGCAGTCTTGGAACATGTTTGGACCATCTTTGGCCCACTTGGGGCAATGCTGGCCGTCATGGAGGCGTCTTGGAGGCATCTTGGAGGCCATCTTGAGTCATCTGGGTCGTCTTGGAGGCGATTCGGCCCACGTTGGACGAATCTTCGGCGGCTTTCTGGGTGGCCAGCGGCATCGGCCGAAGCCCCAGAAGGAACCAACAACCATAAGACATTTAGCACGCCAGGCACCCCTGTGATAAATCAACAGGGGGTGGCGGATGACGAAAAGAGCGAGGTACGAGCGAGAGACGTTTCGCAGGGGGCGAGGCCCTTATAGGGAAGGGGTCTGGGGGAGCGGGCCAGCAGGGAAACAAAAGTCTAATTGCCCTTTTCCCGCGTTTGTTTCTAGTGAAGCGGCTCCCGGGCGGGTATTTCTTTTAGTGACGCGGCCCAAGGGCCCCAAGACGGCCCAAGAGGGCTCCAAAACGGCTTCAGACGGCCCGGCCCCAAGACTGCCCCAAGAGAGCTTCCGATGGCCCCCAGACGGTCCAAGCGAGTCTCGAGACGGCTCCAGAGGCCCTCAAGAAGGCCACCGAGAGGGCCTCAGGAGGCCACGAACGTTGATATCCCTGGAGTTTTTGCAGGTGCTTCGGTTTCTTTTTTTTCAGTCCCAGAAGGGCCCCAAGACGGCCCACGAGGCCCCAAAGATCGTCCCAAGACGGCCCCAGAGGCGCCCCAAAGGGGCCCAAAGAGGTCCAAGAGGGCCCCCAGACGGGCCCAAGACGGCCCAAGAGGCCCAAAATATCGTCCCAAGACGGCCCCTGAGGCCTCCTAAAGGGGCCGAAAACAGTCCAGGAGGGCCCCCAGACGGCCCCAAGAGAGCCCCAAGATGCTCCCAAGCGGTCCCCAGGAGGGAGGAGGAGGAGGAGGAGGAGGAGGAGGAGGAGGAGGAGGAGGAGGAGGAGGAGGAGGAGGAGGAGGGAGGAGGGAGGAGGGAGGAGGGAGGAGGGAGGAGGGAGCAGGAGGAGGAGGAGGAGGAGGAGGAGGAGGAGGAGCAAGAGGAGGAGGAGAGGAGGAGGAGACCAACGATGTTGGAACTAACCCTCCCTCCAAACTCCCTCAACAACGGTTAGTTTCCATTGAGGAAACTGCCTCGATGGAAGACAACCGCTGGAAGATCCTGAAGCATGCCAAAACATTGTTCTCGGGATTTCAACGCCACGTATCAACCTGACTGTTGCGTTTCGGCGATCCGGAATCCTGCCATAACGCCATCTTTTGGATTTCAACACCGCGAATCAACAGAATTGTTGCACCCGCATGGTCTTGAATCCTTCCTAAACCTTTTTTTTGGTACGTTAATCATGGGAACCCGTGAAACCCTTGCAAATGTTTACAGCGAATGTGCGTGGCGCTAAGGCCCGCCCTCAATCCGTGAAACCTTTGCAATTTTTGAAAACGAATGCGCGCGGCGCTGAGGCGAGACCCACATTTTGAAAACGACCCGCCCTCAATTCGCGAAACTCTTGCAAATTGTTAAAAACGAATGCGCGTGGCGCTAAGGCGAGAGCCACACTTTGAAAACCACCAGCCCTCAATCCGTGAAACTCGTGCACATGCTTAAAACGAATGTGCGCGGCGTTCAGGCGAGAGACACATTTTGAAAACGACCCGCCCTCAATGTGTGAAGCTCTTGCAAATGTTTATAACGGGTGTGCGCGGCGCTAAGGCGAGAGCCACATTTTGAAAACCACCCGCCCTCAATCCGTGAAATGTTTGCAAATGTTGAAAACGAATGTGCGCGGCGCTGAGGCGAGAGCCACATTTTGAAAACCACCCGCTTTCAATCCGTGAAATGTTGAAATCGAATGTGCGTTGCGCTAGAGCGAGAGCCACATTTTGAGAACGACCCGCCCTCCATCTTTGAAACTGCTGTCACCTTTCAAGCTTCAGAGTCATAAATGGTGAGGAAGTCTCAGGCCAAGCTCCCGGCCTGCCCTAAAAACTGGCCTCGGAGTGCGACAGGGAGGACGACGAAGAGGAGGAGGAGGAGGAAGAGGAAGAGGAGGAGGAGAATGAGGAGGAGGGAGGAGGAGGAGGAGGAGGAGGAGAGAACGAGGAGGAGGAGGCGGAGGAGGAGGAGAAGGAGGAGGAGAGGAGGAGGAGACCAACGATGTTGGAATTAACCCTCCCTCCAAACTCCCTCAACAACGGTTAATTTCCATTGGGGAAACTGCCTCGATGGAAGACAACCGCTGGAAGATCCTGAAGCATGCCAAAACATTCTTCTCGGGATTTCAGCGCCACGTATCAACCTGATTGTTGCGTTTTGGCGATCTGGAATCCTGCCATAACGCCATCTTCTGGATTTCAACACCGCGAATCAACAGAATTGTTGCACCCGCATGGTCTTGAATCCTTCCTAAACCTTTTTTTTGGTACGTTAATCATGGGAACCCGTGAAACCCTTGCAAATGTTTACAGCGAATGTGCGTGGCGCTAAGGCCCGCCCTCAATCCGTGAAACCTTTGCAATTTTTGAAAACGAATGCGCGCGGCGCTGAGGCGAGACCCACATTTTGAAAACGACCCGCCCTCAATTCGTGAAACTCTTGCAAATTGTTAAAAACGAATGCGCGTGGCGCTAAGGCGAGAGCCACACTTTGAAAACCACCAGCCCTCAATCCGTGAAACTCGTGCACATGCTTAAAACGAATGTGCGCGGCGTTCAGGCGAGCGCCACATTTTGAAAACCACTCGCCCTCAATCCGTGAAACTCTTGCAAATGTTTATAACGGGTGTGCGCGGCGCTAAGGCGAGAGCCACATTTTGAAAACCACCCGCCCTCAATCCGTGAGATGTTTGCAAATGTTGGAAACGAATGTGCGCGGCGCTGAGGCGAGAGCCACATTTTGAAAACGACCCGCCCTCAATGTGTGAAGCTCTTGCAAATTGTTAAAAACGAATGCGCGTGGCGCTAAGGCGAGAGCCACACTTTGAAAACCACCAGCCCTCAATCCGTGAAATTCGTGCACATGCTTAAAACGAATGTGCGCGGCGTTCAGGCGAGCGCCACATTTTGAAAACCACTCGCCCTCAATCCGTGAAACTCTTGCAAATGTTTATAACGGGTGTGCGCGGCGCTAAGGCGAGAGCCACATTTTGAAAACCACCCGCCCTCAATCCGTGAAATGTTTGCAAATGTTGAAAACGAATGTGCGCGGCGCTGAGGCGAGAGCCACATTTTGAAAACCACCCGCTTTCAATCCGTTAAATGTTGAAAGCGAATGTGCGCTGCGCTAAAGCGAGAGCCACATTTTGAGAACGACCCGCCCTCCATCTTTGAAACTGCTGTCACCTTTCAAGCTTCAGAGTCATAAATGGTGAGGAAGTCTCAGGCCAAGCGCCCGGCCTGCCCTAAAAACTGGCCTCGGAGTGCGACAGGGAGGACGACGAAGAGGAGGAGGAGGAGAAGGAAGAGGAAGAGGAGGAGAATGAGGAGGAGGGAGGAGGAGGAGGAGGAGGAGGAGGAGGAGGAAAGAACGAGGAGGAGGAGGCGGAGGAGGAAGGGAGGTAAAAGGAGGAGGAGGAGGAAGAGGAGGAGAGGAGGTGTGAGAGGAGGTGGAGGAGGAGTTGAGGAGGAGGAGGAGGAGGAAAAGAAGGAGGGGAGGAGGAAGAGCAGGAAGGAGGAGGAGGAGGAGGAGAAAGAGGAGGATGAGAAAAACGATAAGAAATGGAGGTGGAGGAAAAGGACGAGGACGAGGGAGGATGAGGAGAGGGAGGAGGAGGAGCAGGAGGAGGAGGAGGATAGAGGAGGAGGAGGATGGAGGATGGAGGGTGGAGGAGGAGGACGACGACGACGAAGAGGAGGAGAAGGAAGAGGAGGAGGAGGAGGAGGACGAGGACGAGAGAAAAGGAGGCGGAGTCAGGAGGAGGAGCAAGAGGAGGAGGAGGAGGAGGAGGAGGAAGAGAAGGAGAGGGAGGAGGATGAGCAGGAGCAGGAGCAGGAACAGGAGTAGGAGAACGAGGGACGAGGAGGAGAGGAGGAGGCAGAGGAGGAGAAGGAGGAGGAGGAGGATAATGTTTAACAATAATATTTGGAGGAGGAGGAGGAGGAGCTGGAGGAGGAGGAGGAGCAAGGCTCCCAACTGAGAGCGGTGACGTAGCACGTGCTTGCCAGCAAGGCTCCCAAGAGCGAGCGGTGACGCAGCAAGCTTTTGCCACCATGGCTCCCAAGAACGAGCGGCAACGTAATCATCTCTGGGCATGAGGACTCTGAACCGAGAGCGGTGACGCAACAAGCTCTTCCCGGCAAGGCTCCCTGCGGCGAGCGGTGACGTAACACGCGCTTCCCAGCAAGGTTCCCAAGAACGAGCGGTGACGCAACAAGCTCTTACCACCAAGGCTCCCAAGAGCGAAGGTTGCCATGAGCCCTCTCGGGCAGGTTGCTGCAGCGCTCTTTCCGTGCCCATGCCTGCTCAGGTCCGGTGGCCTTCGGCCCATCCCGCCGCCGTGCCCTCTTAGGGCCCTCTTGGCCCGTATTGGGGCCCTCTCGGCTCCGAGAAACTCGAGCGATGAGCTGCGCCAAGTCCCAGGAGAGTTAGAAATTGGGGCTCTGGGCCACCTCAAGACTACTTCAGGTGTGAGGACTCGATCAAGGGAAGAAAACCACCCGGACCCGACAATCGGCGTTTGCTAAACGGTCCTGGGCGTTTACGAAACAGCCCTGCCCTGCTTGATTCCTTATTTGGGCGCGTTTGCTACGCGACTTCGCGTGTCGGGGTGGTTATTCTGGGGGTGGACTTTGGTGACCTCTACTGGAGGCGTAGAGGACTGGGAAACTGACCCGAGGTCGCGCCCTCGCCGTGCCCAGAGGCACGCTGGCGGATCTCTGCGGTTTCCCCCGCATTTGTTGTTGCCCAGTCGTTCCCGCTTCAGGCCTCGGGCCTCGGGCCCGCCCTCACCCTCCGCGCGGTGGAGGCGGAGGAGGAGGAGGAGGAGGAGGACGAGGAGGAGGAGGAGGAGGAGGAGGAGGAGCGGGAGCGGGAGGAGGAGCGGGAGCGGGAGGAAAGAGGAGGAGAGGGAGGAAAGGGGAGGAGAGG